GAGCACGGGGCAAGGCCCACAAAGGTTACTCCACATAGTAGCCTGGTATCACTCCAGACATCCTGTCCTCTTCCGAGTCGTCGTCGGCAAAGATGGGCACGGGTCTGACAGGCGCATCCAGGGGCTGGCCGGTATCCGCTTCCACCGGAGCCGGTACGGAGGTCTCCACAGCCCCCACAGCTTCCGTAATGGCTGCGTTGAGTCCCGACTCCGGAAGAGCCGAGGCCATTGCTTCCTGAGAGAGCTAGCTTTTCCTGCATGGTCTTGGCCGGTGACAAGGCATGTGGCACCGCGGTGGGCAATTCCTTGATCGACTTGCGGCAAGCACCAAGCTTGGGTCGTTGCATCTTGTCCAAGCTGCCGAAGACGTCTGCCAAGCCCGCAGAAAGGAGGGGATCCGCTGCACATGCCTCCGTAGTAAGCGGTCGGCTGGGCGAAACTTGATAGGGATCCGGAGGGAGGCTCAGTCCTGGGGGGGTGGCACCCTCTCGTCGACCACTCGGAAATGCTGGAGGCGTCATCGCAGGCGCTGCCGTGACCCGCCGAGGCGGGGTGGCTGGAGGGGCCGAGCCAGTTCCCACACTGGCGGCCAAAGCCCTTCTTAGCACAGCATCGGAGGTCTCCTCTTCGCGCTGCTCCGCTCTCCATCGTTCCACCATGGCATTCCACTCCGCCTCGTGGTTCCCCGGGCGTCTCTCGTCCTGCTCGCCCAAAGCAGCCATGCGGAGATGGGCTCGCGACTCCTCTTGAGCGGAGAGGGCCGCATCCAGATCCGCTTGTAGCTTCTCCATGTCTCGCTGGTGGCGTGAGAACTGCTGGATGAACGAGTGCTTCATGTCCTCCACATACTTGGCCCAGAGGGCCTGCTTGTGCTTGACCGTTCCCTGCAGCCCACGCACTCTTTGCTCCGTTCGCCGTGTAAGATTTATCATCTCCTGCACGTCCTGCACCAGATTCTCGTCCCTGTTCGGGGGCGCCACGACATCGGTCCTTGCACCCCTTCCAGAGGTGCTCTTCAAAGCCTGAGCTCGAGATCTGTCGTCGTATGCTGGGAAGGAGGTAGAAGTAGAGGTGGCATCCGTCGACCAGCTCTCCCTTTCCCTCCGACCAGGAGGACTCCACGCACCATCCCAAAGCCGCCAGGAGGAGTACTCCTGCTGCTGCTGTTGCGACTGCCGTGCATGCTGTCCTCCCCATTGCTGCCGCCGTCCTGCTTTGCCCATGCGGTAGATCTTCTCGAGTAACGAAGGAGCAGAAGCGTGATGCTTCTGCAGGCTCCTCTTCTGTCCCTTGGGAAGAGGGATGCCCAAACGCAGGGTCTTACGAGCAGTTGAACGCTTTCGCCTCAGCTTGCGATGCCAAGAGGGCGAGAGGGGATGGCGGCCGGAGCTGAAAATGGCGAACACAGGGTATTCCCGCGTTCTGGGGCACTAGGTTTTCCTGACCTCTTCAGGCGATCCTGAGCCCTCA